CTGGAAGTCCCGCCAAACACCTCACGCACGTCAACTTGGAAGGCGAAAATCAACAGCATGTTGTTTCTCTCTTTTAAATCCCCCCTTCTCTCTAAGCACCCACAGCCAATCTGAGCCTGTGACTAAAGCGCCATCTCCCAGACTGTACACTCCAGGCTGCATTTAGTAGTCTCTGGGTGTGCAGGCACTGAGCCACCTCTGGATTTAAAGCGCAGTTTACTCGTTTCCGCGCAGTTCCAGACATCGCTCTGAAAGAATCAGCAAACGTACGGAAATCCAACAGCTACCAATACTCTTTGTGACCACTTATCTGCAGAGACTTTGTGGCTTTCTGCTGCTTAGTCGCATTTTTTAAGCGAGAACGTTCACATGCGGATCATACTGTGAATAGGAAGAAAGGGGGAAATCCGGCGGAACCTGGAGTAGCACAACAACAAATATCTGACCTCGACCTCCCTGGACGGTACTGAACTGGATGTTGAAATAGAGATGGCGAGATTTCGCATCACCCCGTCTCCTCCTCCAACACACATGCTGCCGAGGCTGATGATGATGTTTGCGTAGGAGTGTTTTATTTTGCGGACAGCTTCGGTTAACCAGTAGGAACCGTTCAAACAACTCCAGACAATCGGTGGATGGAATTGTGTGCTGCTGCCTGCCTGCTTCAAAAGCATCTTCCACAGATCACATCATACCATTGTTACCGGAGTGCTTTTCAGTGGTCTCTCTGCAAGTCGGGAACTGGAAAGAAAATGTTTTGCATGGCAACGCTGTGCGTGGAGAAGTAGTCTTCAGTACAAAGAATACGAATGTTAAAGGTGGACATTTTTTTGTTTGTTTGTTTGCAAAGGGCGTATCTGCTAGTTTTTAATTATCAACTAAAGAGGAACCAGGCCCGGTGGGTTTTATTTTGACCTGAGTCGAACTCCAGCTCCACTTTGATCGCAGGCACTTCAGCGTTTAGTTCATATCTTTACCGGCATTGGAGGCTTTTTTTTTCTCGGCGTATTCACCGGTGTCATTATTCGTCACTGAGGTTGACAGACTACAGCCTGCCGAGGTCGGGACCTGAGCCCCAAGGAGCCACCCCTACCCTCAATGTGACCCGGCGAATTCCTCTTATCTCTGAAGGTAATGCTTTACCCTTGAAGGAAGAAAGATTGTGTTGTACCACGATGTTTCCTTTGTGTTTCTTTATCGACTGTGATTATCAAGTCATGCATGTTGTTTTTGTTTTAGACATGGAGATAGATAGATAGATAGATAGATAGATAGATAGATAGATAGATAGATAGATAGATAGATAGATAGATAGATAGATAGATAGATAGATAGAT